TGGTGTATGATGAGTGGTGTATGATGAGTGGTGTATGATGAGTGGTGGTTGAACAGCTGTTGAATGTCCGTAACACGGAAGTTTTGCACACTAAACTTCCTTTGATAATGTAGAGAGATCCTGCTTCTTTGCGTTACCAAAATTTGGTACGGATCTTTGGATCTTGCAGATGGACAAATGGGCAGACAGACCGACAGGGGATGTTTGCTACATTGCTAACTTGGTTGTCACATTTGAGGCGACAGCTCCAGCGACTCCGGGGGCGTTTAGTTACCGCGGAAACAGCGCAGCGTCAAGGTGATTGGTGGGGATTGTTGGGAGGCTGCGAAGAAGATGTTGATAAGAAATCTGTTCCCTGATTCATAAACAAATAATTTCCACTGACAGTCGCAAGGGTCACTCTGCTGAAACTCTCCACAACTTGCTCCAAGTTGAAGACCTGACCATTTGTACCCAGCGATTTCGGGCGCAGGAGGTGTGCATTGGGGATCGCAAACCAGCTACATCCACATTTTGCCGATTTGATATGGCGTTCACATGCTGTTAAACGGACCTTTGGGTTTGCCATGTGGAGGGTCCCCCCTGCCATCTCAAGCAAGGTGAACTGAAGGTCATTTAACCGAACTCCCTCGAATCCCGCGAATTTGTCAGCTTGCATGGGCTGGGGTACTGTCCCGATGCCATGTAACACGTGCCTGACTCGGCTCAAGCATACAACAATGTGCCTGTCCAAGATTAATCAGGACTTATATTCCAAGCCACATTCAGTGCAGTCCCCCAAAAGTTTGACCATAAATATATAGTAAATAGCCTCACACCATCAGCCTCATCCCTCACTGACCTGTGATATGTCTGAAAGAGCTGCGGATCAAAACACCTATGGCATTCTGGCACTGTTCTTTGTTTTTCTTTCGCGTCATCGAGTCGATTGTCCATCGAATGCTTTGCCTGTGATCCTCTTCTTTGGTGTTTAAAGGGCCATGGGCACTTTGAAGGCACCGTCCTTCGGGCCCTGCCAATCGAATGTGTCTCACGTTCCCGAGAGGTCTTCTAACGGTGTTTTTTTGCTGTTAAGGAGGTTCACCTGAGGCACCATATCTCGTTATTTCATGTTATTTCTTGCTAGAATAGCTGGAAGAAACCCAGTGAGAAAGATTCAGACTGTTGTTTGTTATTAATTACTAATTCCAGGTCAAGCTCTCAGAGGGTTTGGCGGGTGAACCTTGACAACTTCCTGGGATTCAACAGCGAGACTTGGATGGGCTTCACACCAATGCTGGCATTCAAGCCACAGCGATGTACAATTCAGGTGGGTAGGAGCTCTGGCAGCGGAGTCACCAACTGAAAAAAGTGGTTCCCTATATTTCTGCTTCGGCACAGACATGTGTTTCTCCAGCGGATGCCGATCTTAACTTTTTTCGCCTTGACATTCAGGGTTGATCATGCGATGCACTTGGCACAGACAAGACTTTGTTTTATAGTATATAAGGATTCTTCAAGGGTTGAGCGCCAAAGAGTTTGATCGTGCTTGGACATGGCATTTGGCGCGACATCTTGTGTGAACCGGAGAGCTTTGCTCAAGCTGCCTTGGTCTCAGCTAGCTGAAGCCTCATGCCAACCTTCTGCTGGTGGGAGGAGGCCAGGACCCTGTGCTGTAGTCCTGCCTCGGAAAAAACCTGCCAGCAATGGATTAGCACACGTTGGCCGGCAGGGCTTAGGTAACAACTTGAGTATGCTGCAGTGTAACAGTGGCTAGTCAAGGATGTATGATGCAACGGAGTCCAAGTTTTCCTAAAGATCCAGGAACCAAATCAATCATGCAAAGAACCCTTCGCCCTTCTGCCTCTCTGGCAACTCCGTGGTAGTTACTTAAGCTGCTAGCTCAACCCCGCAGGGGTGCGAAATCTGCTAGTCGCAGCTGTCCAGAGGTGAGCGGCAGATCCAGGCTGATGGAGCCGGGCGACCTGGTGTGCTCGCTGCAGCTTGTGGAGGGACTTCGTCAGAAAAAGGCCAAGTCGAATATGCAGATGCAGCAGAAGAGAGAGGACCGATCTTCGATGCTGATGGCTCAACTTTGCACTGCCTTGGTAGTGTGCGGTTCTGTGGGGCAGTACAGCAGGTCTTCACCTGGAAATAGTTCGCCCATTCAAAAATTCACAGCCAACGAATGCTATATTTGCAACGCCTTGTACCTGGTTTGTTCGAGACTTTGTGTCTTCTGTAAACTTCGAAGTGTTTGCAGGTGTCCAGGCTGCGCAGGGTTTGGGCTGAACCTATTCAAACAGGTGGAAGCACACACTCGAGATATTGCGTACTGACACGAGTCGCGGTTTGCCACACGCCAACCTGAGTGAAAAACCTAAGACTTCGGGGGGTATGAAACCTCTGAATGCGACAAGGTGCAACAGCAAGTCGGTCAAACTCATTAGCATTTTAGTGCAGAACCGAAGCCAAAAGAGAAGTCTTGTTCTAGTTACAAGCAGGGCCCAGTAGGAAGTGAAAGGTAAAACGCAGGTGAAAGGTAAAACGCAGGTACGCAGTGGAGCGTCCCCGCTGTATCAACACCAGCTCATACCCCTCTTCGTTGGACGGGCAGTATCAGCCAGTCCCCCTGCTAATGGTTAAAGTCAGAGGATTCTCAGTGATTCCGAGGGTTTCACACACACACAGACCGGAAGGAGCGAAAGCGGAAAGCATGGCTGGAGACTTGGTGCAGAGATGGTCGAAAAGACTTTTTTAACTACGGTGTATATATATATATAATATGATATAATATTGTGTGTACAGACATAACTCACTAGGGTTGTTATTGTATTTTCAGAGGGCATGCTGAGCTCCGCAGACTTGTAGTTCTTGGGTCATCCAGGAGATCAAACGCAAAAATATATAGTGAGAATCCTTGGCTCTTGTGCGCCAAGGGAACGGCCTGGCGGAAGACGAAACACTTCCTCGACTCCCATGACTTCAGTGATGTCAACTCCCCAAAGGTTTCGTGGCTGGGCTTCAGGCGTTCTTATCCCTTGCACACCGCAGTCCAAGAAGGCAACTGGGAGATCGTGTTGCTCCTCTTGAAATTTGGTGCGGATCGCAACCTCAGGGACCATCACGGCAGGCTTGCAGCCTCGTACATGTGAATCAACAGGCAGCAAAAAACTTGGGAAACTTCAGCTGCGTAATGACGGCCTAGAGTTTCTTTGCAATCTCCCAGCGCCTGAGTGGCAACATCCCAAGTGTCGCGGAAGATCTTCCATCAGACTCTGTACAAGATCGTCCTAAGACGTTTTTGTTCAGATCTACCATACCCATAGCCAGGGATTCCAGCTGCCACTGCCCGCGGTTTTGAGTGTTTGAGTTGCAATTTTCAGCTAGCATACAACAGTGGCGGCCAGTTTCCTTGGATTGGAGAAAGGTGTTTCATGAATTGGACCCTCAGAACGACAAGATTGATGAGGGATCCATTTTGAAATACCGCTACTGGCTACTGCTAGATAAACAGGTGCCTAACCTACGATTTCCCTCACAACAACATGAGATTTTATTCCCTTATGCACAGCATGAAAAAAGACCCTTTTTGTCTGCAAATGCTAGTGTTGACTCTTCACAACATGCTTGTCAACACCTGTGCCAGATTCGGCATGTGTGACTCAAGTGCGAATGAATAAGCAGACACCCGTCTTTTTAGAGTTGGGATTGCTCCCTCCTTAGAGGCTGCAGTCTACCTGCAGCGCCGCTTGCTTTCGAGAGGCCAACGCTTTGAGCCAAGGTTCTCCGAGCCCAGACACTCGACTAGTCTTCGACTTCCCAGAAGGTGTCGAAGCACAGCACGTTTTCTTGATTGTGTATATTGAATTCTGTAATTGGTGAGCATGAGTCTGATGTCTCATGCCCCAGCAGCGTGGCATGACAGAAGAACAGCCAGTTTCAATTCGTGAATTTGACGGCTCAACAGCATCCACATTTTAGGAGGCCGTTTCGTGCCGATGTGTGACTCTTTCTTGCATAATTTTGGAATAGCCGCAGAGCACGGTATTTTCTCTGAAAACATGTTGAATGCCCAAATGAAAAAACGTGCGTATATCCTGAGATCGTCCACCGGTCAGGCTAGGCTACTGGTGGACCCATATTGGACATGATTTGGATAGCTGGGCAATCTGAGCTGAGATGACTTCTCAATGACAGCCAGCGGTGCTTCCTGGTTTCCTGGTGAAATCCTGCACCCAAACATCGTATTCTCAGGCAGCATCTTGCAGCCTCGATAGCTAGGAAGAACATCCTGAATCCCATTAGGGAGGCCTTAACACTGAGCCCTACTTGGCATTCCCATAATGTGATAGGTGTGATACAGTAGGAGGTCAGTGTGCTCACCTATATGCCAATTATGGCATATGGATTCGTCACTGAACAATGAATATGGCTTGATTAGGGCTCCCCCACTAATCAAGCTCCCCCTATTCAATGAATTATGCTAGTGGTGCCGAATGCGGCGCAACTGACCTGGGTACGAGTCGTAGTCTGCAGTTTTATCCTAGGATTGGAATGTCCACAACTTTTGGAGTGCAGTGAACAGGGCGATTATTGCATGGCACGCCATCCAGTTCTGGTTGGATAAAGTGGTCCGGTATTGTTACTGTTACTGGATGGTTGTGGAAAGGGTTTGTTTGCTGACAAAAACTGCCATGAATTCCAAGCACGCACTTTGTGAGCTCCGTGAATGTCTAGGAACGACTAAAGACGCTCGGTCTGTCAAGTGACGTCTGATGAAGCGACGAAGTCGACGACGGCGACCTCCGACGAGGCAACTGTCGCCGTGGCCGTCATGGCCGCCATGGCCGCCGCGGAGGAGGAGGGTGACCCGGAGGCGAGGCAGGTAGGTTGGAGGCCATCGCTACTGGATCGCTACTGGGAGGCCATCACTAGTAGGTTGGAGGCCATCGCTATT